CCATTGAAGAGATTGGTCGTGTGGTCCTGGCACCGATCAAAAAACAAACCCAGGGACCCAGGGACCCTGTCTCTTGAGGAATTGAAGAGTCTGTTGAACATTGTGAAGAACTAGGTGAAAAAAAACCCAACTATTGTGGGATATCGCTAATCTAAGTATTCGAAGTCAACTACACTACAATATGTAACCCCCCCCATAACTCCCCATATTTTTCTGTTTCTGTTTTGGGGAAACAAAGCCAAAAAAATTCAATGACAGATGTCTTGGTGATGATCAGTGTTGGTGCGGTGTTGGAAAAAAAAAACGAATCCCCAATATATCAACGGTAGGTTAATAGCCCCCAACCCAATCATAACCATCATCTTATCAATAATATCCCCTTTCATCATTTCAAAACCGTGTGTTTTAAACAAAAAGACTAGAAATGATTGATGTTGATAGTTTTAGACACCCAAAAAGACTACATAACCTGATAGTTTTTGATAGTTTTAGACATTTTAAACCTCCACAAAAGACTCTGTGACTTGATGGTTTTGATGGTTTTAAACATGTTCCCCGCAACCCCCTGGTTCGCCCACACTCAAACAACACATCCAAACAATATCATATACTTATCACCAGAGGATGAATGAAAACACCGGCTATACGCAGTCATTTTGACTTTAAGTTTTCAGGATTTAGGGTTTTAATTTAGGGTTTTAGGTTTTAGGGTTTTGGTGTTTGTTGTTTTGGAAAGTAAAAGACTTAAACCCTGCGCAGCGATTTGAGCATGTCAAAGGATATGCGGGCTTGGCCGCACTGCTCCTGCCAAGCCAGCTTGGTCCAGGCCGGTACACGATCGTGCCAGCCGCCATCGTTGGCTTCGATGCCTTGAATGGTGGATTTTTTTGGATGTTTTATTGAATACCCTCCGGTAATTTAACATAACTATGGAAAATCATCATCTATAATGGATGTTCCCATGAAAAATTGTGATTTTCCATAGTTTTTTGTATGTTTACCAGAGGGTAAATCCAATAGTTTGAAACAAAACTGATAATCCAAGCAATAATAATGATAATCCAAGGAAACTCCGATTATTTCTACAGAATGTCGGGTGGTTCATCATCATTGGTTGGGGTCATGTGTTTGCGGGCTATTCGTTGACAGGACTGTTTGAAGACAACTGCTCGCTGGATCTGGCCAAGTATTGTCAAGTGATTCAAATGTCGCTGCCGAAAAGCTTCTGCTAATCAGTCACATGGCTGGAGTTTTCGAGTTTTTCCCCATTTAATCCACTTAGTTCAATGATCTTCCCAGCTATAAATCTCCTGAACACTTGATGACCGCCATGTGGCTGACACCCTTTAAGGTAGATCTCCCCTCACAATTGTTATGGGTGCTGTGATATAAATCATCCCCAGTCATGGTAGGTTGGTAGGTTTATGGCATTGGGTTGCACACATTATAATCCGATAGAATATGATATAATTAGATATAATTGGGTATATTTAGATATAATATGATATAATTAGATCTTACTAGATATCATTAGATATATATATATAATTAGTATACTTCTACCGTGTATATCCAGGTTTTTGGACCACCTCAGCAGTTTTAAATAACGAAAACTCCGACGGCCGAGCTCCCAGCGGACTTTGACTTGTGTGGCGTGGTCGATGCCAGGTGAACCGTCTGCCTGGGGATCGACGGATGCCAGGTGGATGGCCATCCCACCAGGAACTCCGTCTGCTAAGGGTGGTGCCCCAGTGAGCTAAATCGTGAAGTTGGTGATACCCGTGTGGAAACCATAGGAAAATGTGGGTTTATTGGAAATTATAGCTCATTTATGATAGCTAAGTTGGTGTAAATTTATAAGTCCAATTTCACTGGCTGGGTTTTGTTGGTGATCTGAAAAGAACTAGGTCATGGGATTATATAACCCATTTATAACTGGGGGGGCACCACCTTGTGGAAAACATTGGAAGATATGGAAAATCATTGGAAATAGAGTTAATGGGATTGAAACCCATTTATAAATGGGGGTGCATTTTATGGCAGAATGACCCGAATGACCTGTATGTGAAAAGCTTTTGACCATGACACATCTGCTGAGTGGGTCAAAACGCCAAAACCTAGTACCCCTGCTATTCACGAAAAAATGAGCAAACTCAGAACAGTCTTTTCAGGTGTCGTTCTCCACCCCCCATCTCACTATATCTGGCACCTTGTCTTTGACGAAGAGAGCCCATCGTCCATAGCCTTCAGATGTCAATGGTGTGGTGTTCTGCCAGTCGTTGAAATTTCCGATCAGGAACACCTCGCGAAACAGGGCAGAGATGGATTCTGCCGGTGATGCATTTCCACCCCGATCAGTGTTTCGGTGCAAAACGAAATCACTGGTTTTCCAACCAGGTGAACCAGACCCTGCCTGCTTTGCATTGGGAAGCCATTCTCTGTAGACATAGCCGCCTGCCAAATGTCGACCAGGGGATGATGCAAGCCATCAATGCACATAATGCACCTGCAGATCCCTTGCCCACAGAGTGTCCTGTCAACTTGGGTGTGTGACCTTCTCATACAGTTTCACTGCAACTGAACAAGCTCAGAATTCATAGATCCTCTGAACGGCTATGGCTCAAGTTGATTGACACCCCAACATTTTCTGATTTTCCAATCTCTTCCAAATCTGTAGTTCTGCCAATACTACACCCTTAAAAGGCGCCTTTCTCGTCATCGCGGTTCCAGCCGAAGATCTTGTATCCCTCGGCGAATTTCTCGACGCCACCCTCGTTCTTCTCGAGCTCACCGAGCCACCATCTGTAACCTCACTCGGGCCTGAAGGATCCCAACCTGTATCACTTCAACCCACATGGCGATTGATAGAGTTGTGACCATTCAACCCACGTCAAACACGTTTAGAAAGGGGGAAGCAACATGGTGCCCACGTCGATTCTGGAACTCCACTTGTTTCACCGGATTGGTGACTCATTTCCCGAACCCTGGTGACCCTGGTGGAATGTGGTAGGGTCTTAACGGATGGGATTGGATCCATCGACATGTGATACATGGATATACATGGTTCAACCCCATTTTTTAAGCTTATCTATTCAACCTGATCTATAGTAACCACACAAAAAATAGAAAAGTGGCATCCAATGCTAAAATAGTGGTATTTGTTGGTAATTGGTATAAATTGAACCTTCTCACAGCATTTTTTGGGGGGCTTCCCAGAAAGGGTCAACCCCAGCCATGTTGGGGTGGTATCATCAAGGCCCCCGATTCAGGTTGCTGCATCATCTAAGGCTCTCACCGTTGACCCTGTCCCAAATTTGGCCTTGGCCAACGGGTTAAGACTGAGATAAGACCGCATAATAACAGCTGGCATTTATTATACAACTGGGATCATCTATTCGCATAGGACTATTGGCGTAGAACCATGATATACGATCTTATGACACTTAAACCCAAAACCATAGACTCTAGACCATGCCCCAAAACTTCAACAGAACTGGGGATGCGTGAAAACTCGCAAAACTTACCCTCTGGTAAACTAACATAAGTATGCGAAATCACCATTTTTAATAAGAAAACTCACTATTTCTATGGCCATTTTCAATAGCAAACTGTTAAATTACCAGAGGGTACCAAAAATATTGGGGCGATTCTTTCTTCATAGCCATGAATCCCAGCTGTTTTACGCTGTGCCGTTACGCCGGCTGGACGCGCCTTGACAGCTCTCCAGGCTACGGTCGATCTCAAAGATCTTAAGCGCCATGACCTTGTTGGCAACGACGGATGTTGATTTTATGACATGAGATTTGTTCTTTAAAAGAAAAAGCAAATCTATATATCTTTATATAATGATATGATATATATATATAATAAATAAATAAATAAAGAAAGAAATAAAGAAAGAAAGAAAGAAAGAAAGCAATAAATATATAAATGAATGAATGAATAAACAAATAAATAAAGGTAATGTTGATCATCATGAATGGTACCTCCTCATTGTTAATGGTTCGTATCCTATTTTGTTGATCGTCAGATAATCTTAATTAACTTTAACTGTAAAAAATGATGTCGTTTATTCTTTTCGGGTCTGTCCAGCTGGGGTCTACCCCAATATAGCAGTTCTAGTGGGGAAAGTGATGATAGACTCACCATGATATTTTGCTACTACTAGGTACCCTAATTTTTTGACCAAGCCGTAATAACCCACCGAAAAAGATGAAAAAAGAGGCCATGGATGGAAAATGATGGAAATACCTTAGCGCTTGTCTGAAAAATTGAGTAAACCGCAAATCTCGTCGGAGAAAACCATTGTCCGAACTGAAATGGCCGTGGGGTATTGTCCGATGGCCGTGCCAGGGTATCCTTCGTGTTCGGACACGCCCCTTATCTTGGTCGAGCTGAGGATCCAACAACGCACAGCCAGATGGGACGAGGACTTGATGTGCAAAAAAGAATCTGTTTGTCCCTAATTCTTTGCCAAGTTTGTGCTGAGGCTCGGCTGAAAAGCTGAAAAGAAAATGGCAAGGTGAAAATTTGGAAAAAGTTCGGGCACAGCCCATTGAATGGTCAAAGGTTACTTCCAAAATGGGCTGCGGTGACGTGGCGCGTTGAGACCCTCCAAAGACGTCTAACCCTAAACAAACGCTGAGAAATGAAAATCATTGGCCTGTGGCCTGTGGCTTAAATGTTTTTAAGCCAAGAAAAAGGCTGGTCTGGTAATGTCTGGTACTGAAATAGATTCAAGCTGCAGGTCCATTGGTGGCCTCCATGTTCTACTGGTTGGTGGTTTCAACCCCTCTGAAAAATATTAGTCAGTTGAGTCAGTTGGGATTATGATTCCCACTATATGGAAAAATAAAAGCCATGTTCCAAACCACCAACTAGATATATATCTCATTAACCATTATTAGCCACGATTAACCACCATTAACCACCATTTACCCTCTGGTAATTTAACATAGCTATTGAAAATGGCCTTTTTTAGTGGATTTTCCCATTAAAAATGGTGATTTTCCATAGTTATGTTAGTTTACCAGAGGGTAAAAAAACGCCAGATTGTGGCTGGGTATTTCATCATCGCCTCGGCCCTAAAAACCGGTGATCGGTGACCTGTCCGTTGCGGTGCTGGCGCGGAACACGCACAACACGACATGGCGCCGTGTTCTCGGCGCAAACGCGAGTGAAGAGTTGATCAATGGATTGGTTTAAGGGAAAATTTACTGGTTTAAGCCCCATATTTAATGGGAAAATCTATGGTTTCCGGTTAAGATTTTCCCTTAAACCAATCCATTGAGTTGAGTCAAAAGTCAGCAACTTTTCTGAGTTCAGATGGCGAAAAACTGGGTTTTTTCGCCAAATGTCCATCATCCCACAGTCAACTGCCGTTAAGAGCTGAGCCAAAATTGAAAGAAACAGAGAGATCTGCTGAAGCCTGCCATGCGGAACATAGGGTCCCAAAGATGGCCTCAAAAATAATATCTATATCTATATATATATATACAATATATACATATACCCATTACATCTGACTTTCTCTACTTTCATTCAAGTTGGCATAACAAAAGTGAGGCTTTGTTTGCAGAGCCTGTCCCCCAAAACAATCTTAGTTGACGCATTTTTTGCAGCGCTTCCAGTATCCACCAATCATATCTGCCAGGGTTTCGCTTCCAGCAGGTTGCACTTCTACTCGGCTGGCAGCTTGCCATGCGAGCATTGAAGTGTCGCGACGAAGAAGCTCTGCAGGGCCCACACGATCGGCACGTCGTCAGGAGATGTTGCTGGGGAGATGTCGCGTGGCCGTGACACGACTGATTAGCTGCCAGCTGGAGGGCTCAGTACTGCTGATTGTATGGCCTCAGCAGAATAACTTTCGGAGAAAACAAAAATGGATGCGGGGTTTCTCCAAAAATTGCTGTGACTCATTTCCGGCCACTTCAACAGGAAACCCAACCAAACCCGTAAATGTCAACCCCCATCGCATCGCAACTTGGATGCCCCGCTTCTGCTTGGACCAGCCACGTCCGAGCCTCTGCAGCCCCAAGGAGTCGCTGTTCGGCCAGAATTTGAACCTCAGATGACTCAGATGTGGTGATCCGCGGCCTTTTAAGGCTTCAGTGGCGTGCACTCATCCCACCAAGGAATTCCAAAAAACAATGGGTGTATTTCCTATGAAAATGGACCATCCGCCACTGGCTTTATCTCCAACTTGACCATGGCCCAAATCACTGGTGGTCCTAGAGGGTAAGCCCCTCACTGCCCTTTCGTTGAAGTAAATCGCCGCCTGCTTTTCACCTGGGTTTCCAGTGTTTGCAGCTGCTTGCAGAACCAACATGTCAGCTCTGCAGTAAGATGTGTGTGTGTATATATATATATATATTCTGATTCTGCGATTCCAACCCATACATCTCTATTCTATATGTTTACAGACATCACACTACAAATACACCGACATGCCATTACATTCTTACATTCACATCCACATTCACATTATGCATTCACATCTCATTACATGTCATTTACATTTGCATTTGAGCAGTGTCAAAACCCTGTGTCATCCCTTCAAAAACTGGTTGAACGGGATTCCCTTATTTTTTTGGATTGTCACATTCCCGCTAGTGGAAAATCCCCGAACCAATCATCAACTGATCATTGATCATTCATATCGCCAGAATTCCCCATATCTATTGGTCAAAATCCATACAAATCATGGTAAAATCCCAGCATTTCAAGGCCCCCGAGGCCGCCACTGGCACTCTGCCAGCGAGCGATGACGTAGACCAGGGCCATCTTGTGGCTCAAAACCTGGCTGAAGCGGATTTTGCTGAGGACCTCTTCATCGATGAAACATCATCAAACATCATCAAACATCAAACATTGAGATGCTGTTGACCACATGATGTTGAATCATCGAATCCGCACCGCCAAATCCAAGGAGTCCTCGAGGTCATCCCATCTGGGGTCCTGCCATGGGACGGATATCCATGGCATGGGTTGACCACGGGCCCATCCGGCCCATCCTCAATCAGCTCATTCAAAGCCCGTCGGAGTGCTTCCAGATTTGCATCTTGCTCTCGGAGCTTGTCCAAGCAATGTAGGATCTGCCACAGTCCGTGGGCAGTTGGGTCAACTCATCCGATTTGTGTATGTTTTTGTGTGCGTGTGCATATATATATAATATGTATATATACATACCATCTATATATATATATATATACCATATATATATATATATATACCAGTTATATAAGGGGTGTACCCCGAATCATCCAAGTCATGGATGACCATCATTGAAACCCATGGATCCACCATGGGTAAATGCAACATTTTTAGAAACCTCCAGACTGAAGTCATACTGTGTCAACTCTCTGCTGAGCGCCTGATCCAGTAGTTTCATCATCTCTGAAACCGAAAGGCCATCTTTCACGACCTCCACATAGAGAGCCTCCATCCACGCGCCGGTTTTCCCCGCGATTTTCTAGAGAGAAAGTCTATGTCTAGAAAGCCGAAAAAAACGAAATGGGTTGCCTCACCCGATATGATACAGTACGGTATCACCAAATGTATCACCAAATATGGCTATGAGTCAAAACCCTGGCGCTATTCTGTTCACTCCAAAAACTCTCAGATTTATGGATGGTCATCCCTCTAAAATGTGATTGTTCATACATAGGTTTTGATTCGTCCGCATATAATGTTGATTATCATTAATGGTACCTCCATTGTTCATGGTTCAATATCCCCATGTTTGATGGTGAAATAATCAGAGGTAAACTGGATAATAAACCATCCCCCAATTGGGCTTTATTTTTGGCTATACCACTATTTCAAATTTCAAACAATTACGGATTATTTTCGAACGCCCCGAGCACAAATGACTGAAATGAGCAGGAAAAAATATTTTCAAGCAGACTTGACTCAAGCAGACAGTACTGTGCTTCGAAAAATCCAGGTCTATGAGCAATTGCAGCTTCTGGCTGCAGCACACGCACTGCTCTATTGGCAGTTTACGGCTTCCACAAAAGCTTGAAGGCTTGCATAGGTCAGAATGCCTTTGTCAACTACTGGTCGGTCCCGGTGAATCTGTTCAACTGCTTTGGATGCATTCTCGAACAGCCCCAGCTTTAGCAAGCAAGCAACCAACATGCAGGAAGAGTCAGGAAGAGCGGGAATGTCCACCTTTGCAGTGAATGTAGACCTTCTTTCCAGCATGTTCTTCGAGCCAAGCTGCAACTGCCTTGGCACCATCCTCTAGAGTTTCCCTTCCAGGAGCCTCTGTGTCTAGAGTTTTGTATCGAATCTGCTTGATCTTGCTCTTTGCATATGCGGCTTCAGGTCCACCCCACTCCTTGGTCATGTTCACCACAAGGCCAACTTCTAGGCTTTTCAACTCCTCGACATGGTGAGCTAATGGCCGGCCACCCAAGAAGAATGGCGTCCCTTTGATTTCAGATGCCACATCGAATGCTCTGGGATCGTTAAGGTCTCTGTGGCCGCTGTGGAAGTATGGTGGTTTTCCAGGTCGGCAACATGTGTCCACCAAATAGCTGACCGTGAGGATAGGCACATCCCAGAAGCAATGAATCCAAGCACTCCTCGTGAACCAAGTCGCTTCAGCTGCCGGCAGTAAACAGCCACTGTCAAGCCGTGGACCAATGGACCACCAAGGATCGTTTGGAAAGAGACTCCAAAGAACCGCAAGGGAAAGAGACACATGGCCACAATATGAATGCACATTCGGTGAGCAAACTGCATGTTTTGCGGAAAGCTCCGGGCTGCTCTTCGTCTTTAATAATAGCTTCTGACACTCGAAGACCGAAGGACCAAAAGACCACAGCCCGCCCGATCCAGGAGTACTGGGTCTCACATAAAGCTGCGGATAGAATGATTGGAAGAGCTCTCCAGGCCACCCCTTCGAAAAACCTAAGTGTTTTGGCAGGTAAAGTGGATGCACGGATCAGTTCGGCCACAATCAACATCACATACAAAAAATAAGCTGCCATCAGCTGCACAGTACTTTTGGGCACTTTTGGACACTTTTGCGCACTTTTGGGCACTTTTAGGGTCCAATGTTCCAGTGCTCAGACACAGGAGATCCAGGAACTGGAAAGTCAATTGCAACCAAGGAGCACCCAATGTTTTTTGGCCATGCGCAAAATCGGACCACAATCACATCGCCTCTCCCGCCTCTCCACAGGCAGAAGAGGCTCGATGCGATTCGCCATTTCCGCCTGTTCGGTTGTCGGAGCACAGCTGAACTTGGGACGCATCAAGGCCCTACATTTTGCAAGTCAAAATTGGAAATGTTGGGTACAGGGACCCGACAAAGTCATGCCTAAGTCACTCCTTTCGCTTGCCCCGCTTGTGAACGCAACAAAGAAGTCATGCCTAAGTCATGCCTTTTCGCCCCCTCCATTGTGAACGCAAGTGTCAAAATAGCCCTTTCCAAATCGGAACCTTTCACTTTCGCTTCTTTTTTTCCTCCCTGCCTTAAATATAGTCATTTCTTAAAAAAAAGGAACGACTTTGTCTTTTGGCTGTATGGGGCCAAGGTACTCTGGTGAGTTCCGGATTTTTTTCGTAAACTAGACGATACTGGATTGTTATTTTCAAAAGTTGCAAGTTTGGACCCATAGCCATTTCAACGAAAAAGTAACATCGTCTTGAAGTTGTTCAAGTTTCCCGGGAAAAAATGGCTACACCAAAGAACGCAGAAACTTTGGTGAAGCCGTGGCTTTGCAGAATATCTATTAGTTTTCCAGCCTTAACTCCAAATTCTTGATGATTTTTGGCCATTTTGGCTGCCAAGGAGCTTTGGCGGCAAAAAGGGCGCTTCTTCCCTTCACGCTTCGGCAAGGAGCGAAAAGCGTGAAGTCGACAGACTTGCAGAACCTCGGATGGTCGTTCTTGGTGGAGGATCTTCAGGAAGCGGAACGTAACATCCACATAAAAATACTAAAAACATGAAACAATTTTTTTGTTGATCCTTCCCAATACCATTGGTGTCGTCAGAAATAGTGGTTTTCCATCTTCCAAAAGGGGCTTGCAGTAAGGATTCTGCCAAGTCAAAACGAAAGTCACATCTGGCAGATCAACCTTTAACGTCACCAAGGTACCCCCCTCGTGACCCTAAACAGCTTCTCCACCTATGAAGCAAAAAATGGACCTATTACTCCTCAACTGGAACCCGAAAATCATGGGCTGCCTGAAATAAATTCCTGGAGACGGTAGTCCCCAAGTTGCACCTCAATGGATTTCAACATTGACCCCTCCAAAGTGATCAAATATGTTTTTTTCAAAGATCTGTCAACCAGAATAGCTGGGTTTTTTCTGCGTCCATGGTCAGTTTCTGGTGGCTACATATGCTCATCGGGATGAGCGAGTTTTCAAGCCTGTAAAATCACGAGACAAGAGACACTCCCAATACAAGCAGCGACAAGATCGAAGGACTACGAGCCACTGGTTGGCTTGAAATCTGCAGCATCCAAATGGCTGCGAGAATCGATTCACTTTCTTGCGGGATTTGGGGTCTGTGAAAACATTCGTCCAGGGAGACCGAAGGCTGTCGGCCAAGAAGTTGCTGGGCGTCACATGTAATGACCAGGGACGGACGTATCCGCGTATCCAAATACAAATGACAAAGGGATACATCATAGTGAGGCATACCGTTTTGATTTGAAAGATTTCCTCTTCAGATCTCTTCTTCGTTCCTGCGATTGCTAATTTGGGGCAAATCAAAGAGTGCAACGCATATCTATGCGGCGTACATCAGCGTTTCCATGATCAGCACAGGCTCCATCCCTTTGCTTTTCATGATGACTGGATTTACCACATTATCAAGTATGAATAATCCCTTCCCCGTAATAGTACACCCCACCAGAACTAAGGTTTAGCAGGGGATCTACACATATTTTGGGCGGTACAATGGAGATGTTTAACATTGGGGGAATTGGATTATATTCACCATCTGGATGCTCTCTGTGGTTCAAAGACGAGAATTATTTGCAGGAATGGCTACAAAGTGGGTTCCTCCATGATGTCCTCTGATGGGTCGAATCTGTAGGTAACCCTTATTGATGGCTTATTTAGGGCTGCTGTCATCGCATGCCAATGTCAAAAATCGAACGGGAACATTTCAATCAATAATAAGGAAATTATTGCTTATTCCATCGCATTCCCAGGCAATGAACTTTGATCTGTGGGGTGACCAATCCAAGCTCCCAAAATAAGACACTTTTAGCCTTATTTTGTCCCCTTTGATCTGTACCTGGGCCCAAAGAAAATAGACCTTAATTAGGCCTTATTATTTGTGTAACAAATCATAAAAGCTTATTCAAGGCTTAAATAAGGCCATTTGCCGTTTTTGTGGTTTAAGCTTCTAATAGCTATTTGATAAGCTACTATTAAATTTACAACCCTTATTATTTTGGGGGGGGAGTGTGGGTGAGTGTAGTGTAGGTTTCTGTGAAAATATTCCATGAATATCCCATTAAGCCACCATTTTTATGGGTATATCATCCAACCAACATGCACTCCGGATGGGATTATCATGTATAATCCTATTTGCGGTATTTTACAAGGAATATGAATATCTGCCGACCCCTAGCCTTGGCATAGGTGAGGCGGTGCCCGGGATCACCGCAGGTGTGCTACATCTCCAAACATTTTTCATACCAGACCCCCTGCAAACTTCAAACCCTCCGCAGCGTTAAGCACCATTGCCATGGCCCGAAGCAACAGCCCCTCAAACCCTCCGCTGCAGCTTTACAAGGCTGCAACCCAGGCCGATGGGCGCAACCAGAATAAGCCCCTCACTGTTTCTATAAGGGTTCGAAACTGCCACGTGGCACGTTTCAGGCGCCCCTTCAATGCCTCAAACCCTCCGCTGCATGCACCGTTGCCAAGGCTGCAAGGCTGCAACCCAGGCCAAAGGACGCTGGCAAAACAAGCCCCTCACTGTTTCTATAGGAGTTTGAAACTGCCATGTGGCACGTTTCAGGACCCCTTGAATGCCTCAAACCCTCCGCTGCAGCTTTAGGCATCGTTGCCAAGGTGTCCTTTTCTGCTTTGACTTTTCTAGTCTCTCTACATGCTGGTCATAATTTTCTCGTTGATTGAGCCAGCGCAATCCAGGCCCCCCCCTTGAAAGGGGGGTCGGCGGCACCAGGCGTTAGCCCTTTCATATCTTTATTGGGTGGAATATCAATGAAAACCCATTAAACCCACCATATTTCTAGGACTTCACCAGATCTTCCCATGGCCCGAACCCACTCTGCGGCCACGCAGCCCGCGCAGCCCGCGCAGCCCGCGCCTCCCCCAGAAATGGCAAGGCGTCCGCGAAGCGCTGCTGGGCGAACGAGAGGTTGCCGCAGGCCCAGGCCTGCCATGTTAAGCTTCAAGAATGGGATTCTCACCAACTAAAATATGAGACTTGAATCAAGACTGAAGGATTTGGCTTAGGGGACGTGCCTGAAAAAAAAAGTTGACAAAGGAGAAAAAATGGATCGGTTGAAACCGTACTGTCTTCATGATCCAATGGCCATTTGAAGGCATCTGTTTTTTTTATCGCAGAGGGTGCAATCATTGGGAGCTACACCGAAGTGAAGAGCCAAGGATCAGGAAACATGCGGATTTCAGCAACGAAGCTGGGGATTCTATCATTGACAAATGAATTGGTTCAGGGGATTTTTTTCAGAACACAATCACTTAAGATTTGAAGAAAATAGGCATAAAGATGTGCTGGTCTTTCGGGCTGGGATTCTCATCCGGAATCAGCACTTACCCAGGTTTTCTCACAAACATAACTCGCTGATATTGGATCTTAGTCATCCCCTAATCCGGAAAAAAAACATAAACCATCACTAGTAGCTATTCAGTCATGGTCCCATATTATATGTATGTTTTACGTCTCATCCTGGTCCTATAGTGTATATATATAATATCATATAATACGATGTACATGTTATCGGCAGGGAAATATCTGGCAGGGTCCGAGTTGGGTGCCCCTCCTGCATGCCAAAGAGTGGAGATCGCTTCCCCACCGTCCGCTCGAAAAGGCTGTACGCCTGGCTTTGTACAGTGGTGAAACCGAATCCGGGCGGTGAAGCGAACAGAGTTTACATGTGAACCTGATATTATCATGATTTATAGGCACATATAGATATGTAACTTGCTCTACAGAGATACACATATAATAGAATTTGAAAGAAATGAAACGTTCATACTAGAAATCGAGAGTGGCTTTGCGGTTTACCACATTCAAGTATTGAAGTTGCTTGTTTCAGCCAATTTGACTGCAAGACAAGCCGAATGAGTGGAAAATTTGTCACCCCATGTTTTTTCTCTCGCTGGCTATACAAGATGATACGGTGCCGATGTAGATCCTTAGGTGAGGACCGGTGGCGAAAATGGAACAGGAAATCCCGTTCCCAGTGACACGGCGTCAGCGATGCGAAGACTCGCTGTGCTCGTTCAAAGATTGAATTACAGCAGTTCTAGGCAAGCACATGTGCCCAAAACTGGAGCTTCATTGAATCAATGAAGCCATAAACCCTGGGTGAATGCACCGCACCGACCCGATTTGTGCGGACCCCTGGCCACCTCACACAGAAAACCATGTGTGTAGCTTCATATCTCCATCATATGTCGAAACTCTAGAAGTCTGCATCCAAAGAGAAACGGTTTGACTCTTGATCAAGTGCATTCATCACACCTGCTTTCTGATAGTCCCCAACTCTCTTCTCAAAGAAATTGGTCTTGCCCTGCAAGGAAATGAGCTCCATCCAATCGAAAGGATTGGCTGCATTGAACAGCTTGGAATGACCCAATGCACACAGCAAACGGTCAACAACAAACTCAATGTAGGTTGCCATGAGGTCTGCGTTCATGCCGATGAGATCACATGGAAGGGCTTCACAGATGAACTTCCGTTCAGCATCAACTGCTCCCTTGATGATGTCATGAACAACTTCCTCAGGAAGCTTGTTCTGCAAGAGGCCATAGATCAAACATGCAAAGTCAGCATGAAGACCCTCATCTCTGGAGATCAGCTCGTTCGAGAAGCAAAGCCCTGGCATGAGACCCCTTTTCTTCAACCAGTAGATGGCGCAAAATGATCCACTGAAGAGTACTCCCTCCACCGCGGCAAAGGCGACGATGCGTTCTGCGAAGCTACATTCCTGATTCATCCACTGGACTGCCCACTTCGCTTTCTCCTGAACGGCTGGCATCGTGGCAATGGCATTGAAGACATGCTCCTTCTCTGCTGGATCTTTGATGTACTGCTCAATCAGCAGAGAGTAGGTCTCGGAGTGGATGTTTTCCATGGCCATTTGAAAGCCATAGAAGGCTCGGGCCTCCGGAACCTGGATCTCAGTGCTGAAATTCGTGGCCAAGTTTTCCAAGACGATGCCGTCACTGGCCTTGGTGGTTGACACAGCTTATCTTTTGGGGAAATGTATAGTAAATCGCTCAATCCATCTAATCTAAAAAAAACTAAAACCTATGTGTACAATCTGTACGGCTACAATCCAAGCTGCCGCAAAGAAGGCTAAGATGTGCTTGACAAAGTGTTGCTCATTCTCCGTGAGACTCTGCCAATCTTTGGCATCAGCAGCCAAGTCGATCTCCTCCGCAGTCCAGAAGGAGGCCTCATGTTTCTTGTACATTTCCTAGATTTGCTGATGGTCAAAGGCAAAGAATCCTTGGGTTATAGATGGTTATAGTAAGAAGATTCCCAATGGGAAATTTTGAGGATCTATTGGGATATCTTTCCAGCAGGATTTGCTGATGTATTCCAAACAGATATGCCAAATACCCCATGTTTGGGTCGATTAACCAATTGGGAAAAAAAAAGACAACGTCTCAGCAAAGCCAGGTTTCAAAGATGCCAGAGTACTGGATGGGCAGCAAGACCCATCTGCGGGCATTGGGCTTCAGCAGTGGATCTTCCTTTTCTAAGTTCTTGAATTTGGCACTCACCGCGCTCACAGGAACTGGCACTGCACCAAGAGCCTCCATGCTGAGGAAGTGAGGAACACAAAGGACACAGAGTCGGAGTTTTCGTTGGGCAAATTGCCGTGGCTGGGCCAAAATGGCTCGAGCGGTGGATAATAATATGGGTTTTAGATGGTTTATGAAGTTTTTAACCAGCAAATGTGGTCTGCCCTAAATTGCCAAGCATTTTTGTGTGGGAAATGCTTTGCCGTGGGGAGACCCCAACCACTGCTTGGGGTAGCTGCAGAAGCGCACCTCCGAATAGTGCTTGGATGCCTGCCAGTCAAGTCATTAGCCACATTTGTGGCTGGTCATGTGGAGTATGAAGCCATCCATTTTGGGCAGCGATCCAGAACCATTTCATGATCAAACATGATAAAACAACAAAATGCAAACATGTCTTTTCTCCAAGCAAGCCACTGGCTGAGAGGGCTATGACGGAAGCAAGCCCCTCAGTCACGAAAGCTCCCAAACAATAACTGTGCCATCTAGTGAGGACGTTGAGAATCGTCCATCTTTGAATGGGCAGCATGATGTAATGGTATTGCTATGTTCCGAGGTGGCTGCCTTGCCGCTGCTTGTGGGGCGAAAGCGTTTCCGCGCTTCATCATAGGATTCTCGCACTCCACCAGGGCCGCTGCTCGGAACTGCAGCTCCAAGGTCCAGTTTACCAGCAACCTGCCAGGCTCCATCCCGCTGCAGGAACAACACAGGCACATAGTCGAAGCCACATGCGACAAGCTGAGTGCGACCCACAAAGGCTAAGCATAGGAAAGGCAGACCCCGCCACCTGATATTTTCCACCGGAGCGTCACGGCCATCCACCAAAGACTTGAATCTCACAGTTGCATCTTGACAGGTGAAAGCCAAAACGTTGCCATTGCTGAACGCAATGTCGTTGATCCATGCACCTGCATCTTCTGTAACCTGAGGTGTGCCGAAGCCAGGCCCGGCGCCCTCCTCAGACATTGAGACATCATAGACCACGCAGTGCCGGTCAGTGGAGCCTGTGGCGAGGTACTGAGATGAGGGATGCCAAGCCAGGGCTGTGATTGCTGCTTTGGCTTTGCCCACTTTCATGGCCACCCAACAATTCACCTCCTCGTGCCAATAGCAAAGGGCTGTATCCTTGGAAGAAAGGCCTACTGCAAACCGATCACCATCTGGAGACCAGGCTGCACACAAAGCTGCACGCTGTGCCTTAAGCTCAACGTTGGAAGGCCTCCATTTTCCATCGCTGTCTTGCTGCCAAACAAAAGCAGTTCGGTCCTCTGAAACGGATAGCAAGCGCCGATGGCAGGACCAGTCAAGCCCTGTCACCCTCTGTGAATGCTTGGCCAGTACTGCATCCGTTCGCTGGTACTGCTCTGAAACAAGCTCAAAGATGTAAATCTCTTCTGCGTTTGCACAAAGTGCCAGGAACTGTTCATCCAAAGAAATTGCATGGCAGTTGACCACTTCAATGTCGGGCTCCTCCAAACGTCGAATCAAGCTCGCCAGCATCTTCTCTTTCGCTGTAGTTTTGTTAGCCTTGAAATCAGAACATCGCTGGCTCAAACTTACATGCAGCCGCTCTGCATGGTTAGGTCAAACAAAATGCAAACATGTCGTTTTATCAGTTGATCCATGAAACTAGTGAGCGTTCACGCGGAGAACGATGTGTCACACTTTCAACATCAGCTGTGAGTGTGAACCCTTCAACTTACAAAGATGTGCAGCCACCAGATGCAGGGCTTTTGGTTAAGGTTTGTGCCTGACATTGCCTCGACTTCCGCTTGGGCCGTCGAAAACGGCGAAGAATGGGCGGACTTGGGTTTCACAGGCCCAAAAATCTGGAAGGTACTCCAACTCCCCTTAAACATGATGCAAACCCACAAAATCCGATGGCTCAAATGATAATTTCCCAAATTGTCCCCGCTATTTCATGGATCCTTTGTAGCTATCCCTATGTGTTTTCCATGTGTTTCCAGCCTCCTGAAACTCCTCAGTAGCCAAATAGCACTGCCCCAGATTGCTCAAGACCTGCAGAAGACAAAAAGCTGGGATAAGCTGGGGGATTACTGCTCTGAACCTTCAGATTGGTGGAGTTTTTGGAGACCCCTTGATGGGACCCCCATTCCCATACTCCCATGTTTTAAACCTCAATGGGAAGATTCACCAGTAGCCTCCAGTAGACGTTTACAGGTCTGGAAATCCATTGGGTTCTGGAACTTATCTCAAAATGCTGCATGTTCCAATATGTGGACGTTTACCGGAGGCGAAAAAAAAGGATATATCATGATATATCACCAACGGCATGGGATTGTTTGATACTTGGAATGGGGTTTTGACCCAATGCCCTAAAGCTTGACCAGAAATGTCTGAGGCTTCATGGCATTGGGCGGGCTTGGCCCTCTGGGAGAATCACCATGAAATTCATGGGTAAATCATGGAACTCAATGGGTCATGGCTTTCATAACTGTTAAAAATACCAGAGGGTAAGTAGAAACATGTAGAAACTATGAAAATATTGATGGATCCTACATCTAAGACTTGCAGAAGACCCTCTCAGAGTCAGTATTCACAGCCCACCAAGAAATGACCGACCTTTGCTCGCAGGATGAGCTCATGAGGTTCAACCGCCTTCAACTGCCGTAATGCCTCGTCACAGCAAACATCACTGGAATAATCTGGAATGATAGGATAGGATTTGCGTGTTGACAAGTCATGCACTACTGACGTTCATGCGTCAACCCTCAAATAATAGGTGTCATACGATATCATGATCGTAAAAGCAACTCTTTCCACAGTAATTCGGCTGCAAATGTCCAAGGACACAGTTATCCTTTGCTCTGTCTTTGCAAAATATGGACATTCTTTCTGCAAGGACTGGAAGTGCAGCAGAAGGTTCAAGCACGCGAACCCCGATGGACATTGTTTCGCGCGTTTTCCCTGATCGAAAGCACAGCTCTTGAGTACCTCTTTGTCGCGCGAACTGTTGTTATATTCGCAGCCTCTTCTTGCTGCGACAACAGTTGGCTGATCCCAAACTCGTGTGGCCGTCCAGATTGTGGCACCGATTCAAGTTCCAAACAGCTCTTAAGTCCAATGGACAAAGTATATGCCATGTATTTCATGTTGAGAGGAACTGATTTCACAACATCAGTAAACCCGAAATGATCTGAACATCTTCCCTGAAACAAACAGAGTCCTCCCCTGAGTGCCACATCTGGCATTGTTTTATGCCTCTCATGGCCAAGATCGTCCGCCAGTTTGCTCCATGGCCACATCGATCAGGTCCTCACAGTTTTCCAGATTTCCAGCTTCCCAAGTCCAAGAATCTCCCGAAAAAATTCTGGCCTCATCCTCCAGCCCAAGCTTCTCTGCCGTATCATCGGCCTGTGAAGGAGATACCATCTCGAAAATATGTTGTGCTTCAAGTTTCTGGTGATAAATTGTGGTAAAGCCAAAATAATTGACCATAGCAAATTTACCCTGCTTTACTATGTGGTATGAAAAAGCTATGTCGCAAACCGGTAAAATGCTAAGCCAAGCCCAATAGGACTGTAAATGGGTTGTATGAACTATATCCAGTGAAAAAATTGTCCAGAAAAAATGGAGCGTGTACCCCCCAAATTCATGGCCCAAAAATACGGACAGTGATGATAAGATCCAGTGGAATGTAGGGAAAGTGATCGTTTTCCCATGATTTTCGAGGAAAGGATCAGTTGTTTCATCAGCGACTTCGCTTCGGATGTGCTGCTCGGTGTCCCGACAGCAATGCGCTCGCCATCCACCATGAACCGCACCTGTGAAGCCTCCCGACTTGGATTTTCGCCACCAAAACGGTGATCCAATGGGAGATGAATGGGAATATAGTTGAATGTAGTGACTAGAACAATAGAATATACATATATATATATATATATGGTTATTCACTATAGTTCAACAATAGGTGAATGGCTATCCAAGTGACTAGAATAATGATAAGCCACTTGTTTTTTTTTGAGGGGTCGACATCTTGACAACCAGACTTGAGAAACATACCGGCCTGAAGACCCAGGCGGCTGCAGTACGCATCCATCCTCAATTCTTCAGGCCAAGCATGATGGGGTTGTGTCTCTTAAATCAAAATCGAATCTGACAAATGCAAGGTAATTGTCAAGCGAAGCTTTTCTCCATGGCAGTTTCATCGCAGTCATTGGCCTCTGGTACAGACCAGCAATTCCAGCCAGTCTGCACCTAGTAAAGAAGATCTGTTCACGAACCTCAAATCTTTGGAGGTCTGCCACTTGGATCTGTAGAGCATCGGGCACGGCTATAGCTACAGACCGCTGACATGGAAACCCTTCAGAAGCACGATGAAAAATCCGTCTCCGTCCTCCGCAGAAGGGGCCGAACAAAAAAACGAAGGGCCCCTTGAAAAAAAGACCGCCCAGAAAATGGCATCCTGTTCTAGCAGCAAACTTGGTCACAGTGATGATGAAAATGATGGTGATTCATTCTCTGGTAGACTAACATAGCTATGGAACATCACAATGTTTCATGGGTAAATCATCGAACTAAATTTCCGTAGCTATCTTAGTTTACTGGAGGGTATGAGGATGGTGGTATTTGACCCTCTGGTCCTTGGGCCATCTTCATGCCAAAGACGCAACTGCGTCTCACTGATGACATGGTGATGACCTTGGTCAACATGGAGAACCAGGCACTGGCTGAAGCGACAAACAAACGACAAATCTGGGCGCCCCACCACTGATGCAGCAGAAGGGGAAGCAAAACCTTCAGCAAAAATCTGCCGCCATGTTGTGACCATGTGCATTTGCGACAAAAACGCACCAAGAAGTGTTGGAATTCTATGGGCGCCCGCAGCACTTTACTGTTTGATGCTGCTATGTGCACTCTTGAAGGATTGCCAGCAGCCTTAGCCTCTGGTAATTTCACATAGCTATGGAAAAGTACCATTTTAATTGGTAAAGGAGGTATAAATGGCTCATTTTCCATTGCTATGTTAGTTTGGAGGGTAGTGGATCTTGAATCCAACCTGGCAATGGTGACAATTCCCAAAAAATGCAGATGTTCTTCAAAGAAGATTACACAATAACTGTACGTTAGAATATAGAGTCACATAGAGCTGATGATGGAATTGTAATTCCATGTGTTTCCATGTTTTTGTCGATGTTTCCCTTAGAAATTTGGATTCTCGGCCACCTTGGACTTCCAAAGTCCATCCACTTCGTCGCCAAGGAGCACTGGAAGCCAAATATCCCCAGACAAAGCGCTCCGAGGAATCAAGACCATGTCCTGCGTTCCATGCGACCACGGTGGGATGTCAGATACCATGTTTGTACGTGTATGTATACAATGTTGTATGTATACATGTGTATATATATATATGTATACATATATATATACATATATATATACATATATATATATACATATATATATATATACATATGCATGTGTATGTATATGTATATATGTATACATATATATATATATATATACATAATTATATATATAATTATATACTACATACATATTATACTTCCATAGAAAAATATGCATAACATACATATCATATCCAAGTCGCTCATTTCTTCGAGACACGGTGTTGCACCAGCAGTTCACAGCGATGCTGCCCCGTCTCCTCAGGGCCTTCTTTGTCCGTTTTCATCTTGGTGCCCAGCCTCAGACAAGATTCCAAACGCCGTGATACAGTGCAGTTCAGATGAGTTAATCATAGTTAACCATAGTAAACCATAGTTCAGTTGATGATAGTTAATCATAGTCAATCATAGTTAATAATATCATCATAGTTAACCACAGTTAATGATAGTTCGTCATAGTTATATATCATATATCCATCGTGTGAAGTGCACTCCATGCACTAGGGTTGTACATGTGATCCTGCGGTGATACCGCGGCATTTCCTCTCAAGGGAGGGATAAACTGACGCCTGACGGCGAACGGAAACGCAGCCTTCTCGAAAAAGGCTGTGCCACTACTTTGTGGACTAGGCGGACCAGACTTCGAGTGCTGTGTTCCCCCAGACTTCGCATTGGTAGCGGAGCCAGCTGAGCTTCGTGCTCTTGGCTCTGTTCTGCTCTGCGGAGCCAGCTGAGCTTCGTGCTCTTGGCTCTGTTCTGCTTTGCTCTGCTCTGGAGCCTGCTGAGCCCTTGTGCTCTTGGCTCTGTGCTGCCTTGGAGCCAGCTGAGCCTTCAGTGCTCTTGGCTTCGTTCTGCCGCGGCCCTTGCTGAGCTAAGGTCCTGTGCAGGCCTTCTGTGCTTTGCCCTGTGCAGGCAATTGGTGACTGGGAACTACATCCTGGACTATGTCTTCAGCGGCGAGTTCAGCTGGTGACACCGCGGTGACCAAGGACAACTATGTGCCCTTGTTCAGCGGTGCCCCAAGCGACTGCCGCGAGTGGCGGAAGAGGATCTCCCTGTACATGACCAAGATGAAGCTGCTCAAACGAGAAGCCGAAGGAGTCTTGAACCTGATCTCAAGCCTCACCGGCACAGCTTGGAAGCTGGTCGAATCGTTCCCGCTGGAGGATGTGGAGAAGGCCGACTCCTTCAACAAGGTTCTCAAGCTGCTGGACAAGGCCTTCGAGTATGACAATCGAGTTCAACTC